TCCTATGGTATCCCACCAGCTTGCCTTGTTCTTACATGGTACAAGTCATAGTTTCTGTTTCTTAAAAAGTCAAGAAGACTTTAATGATCTCAAAAACGTAATATTAATTAATTAGTTAACAATATAATTTCACTATTTTTAAGACTTTGATTGTACAACGTCAATCTTTCCACTTTATCTTCAAATTCCATCATGTAAATCTAACGTCGTTTGATGGGATTGCAAGCCGCACCGTGTCATTTTTCGGAGATTCGCGCCCCAAGCTGTATTGTATTAAATATTGTATATTATAAGTAATTATATAAATTTACCTAACTATTATTTTAATACATTAAACATTTCAATTTTATAAAATTATATATATTAAACGGTTTGATTTATAAAATTAATTTAATTAAATAATTATTGAATATTTAAAAATATAAAGATTATTATCGAAAAACTATTCTAATTGTAAATCGAGATAATATTTAGTATATAAAAAAAAAAATTCAACAAATTGTTATTGCTAAAGTCCAAATTAAACGTGTATAAAGCTACAAAATTTCATAATTTTTGTAATATAATAAAATTTCTATAAAAATTTAAGATGCTACGAAATCTTTTTATAAAAAATACATAAATATTTATGTATTTAACGTATTTTATATTATTAAATTTGCTTGCATTATGTCGAGAAAGATGGAACTCCAAAGTAAAATTAATTTCATACTTAAAAGATACGAGAATGCTTATGATAACTTTGTAAAATATATTTAATGAAAAAATTTACAAATGAAAATGTAATTATAAATTTTATTATATGTGCGTTTTTTTTATAACCATTCAAAATTCACTTAAATAGATTAATATATACTCATAAACATACAAAATTCACTGAAATTTCAAAAAGATACAGCGCATCTGTCTAATACTTTCATAACAGCTATGGTGCCAAACAATGGGACAAAGGTCAGACTTAGGCTATGATATGTGACAACAAGGATACAACAATGGTGGCCTGCGTGCAACCCTTACACATTTTCATTTTATACCTCAACATCAATGATATTCTCGTACACCGCAATCCACATGCAGGAGTTGTAACATTTTGGATTTACTTGCATCATATATATAATAATATGCAAAGTAACATGTACACTTTTTTACGTGTCTCATTCAAATAATTAAAGCGATCTCTTAATCTATCAATAAGTAACCGACTTTTTTACGCGTCTCATTCAAATACTTAAAGCGATCTCTTGACCTATCAGTAAGTAACCGATTATGTTATGAGATTAAAAAATTTATAGAAAAAAATTAATACTTTATTATAATACAATTACTGAAAATATTTTTAATTACAATATATCATATCCATTTAATTATATTATATTATAATTAACAAATAAATACATAACTGGCCGTGGTTGAGCTTCAGCGCTCAATTATTATTTTAATTATTTTTGTAATTTATTTCTGTACCTTTCTCTTTCGCGAAATCAGTTTGATCATTTTTATCTTCCCAAGTCCACATCGTACGACTTCAATGATGATCCACAAGTGGATGATAGATCACCAGCGGGGGGCCTATGATGGTGTCGTTTCAGGTTTTGATTGAATACGTGTGCTCTATAATAGGGTCCACGAGAAACTGTTTTTCCACACCGGAATTATTGAACACAGGCGTGCGACCTCTTGCGGCTCTCAATGGTGAAAACACTTCAGACAGCAAAATCTGTTCTGATTCATCAAACTGTTATTATTAAAATAAATATATAATTAATGATATTTTTCAATATCATAATTCAATTTCACTAAAAAAATATTTTTAAATGCATAAAATCAATGTGGTAGCAATGACAAAGCGATAGAGTGTCGGATATTCAGGAAACATGTTCGATATCTGAAAAATGCAATTTGCTGAGATCAATTCGATGGAATTATTTAATGTTAAAAGGATTTTCTATAATTTTGCAATGAGAAATTATTTCGCCTATTAATCCACCCAGTTATCCATGAACCGATAAAAGATTTAGCAGTTATTACATCTTCTATTTCATCGACGAAACTCTCAATCATGGAGTGCTGCTAAGATATGAATATTTTTGGTTTGATACTCAGGAATATAATGAGTCAATTTATAGTCTTTAAATTTAAGTTAAAAAAATAAATTATAATCAAATTGTTTTGATATTTGCGAAAACTTTTACGCTATACAGTGGGATTATACCAAAAAAGAAAAAAATGATGTTGGGAATGCCCATCTCCTACTCAAATTTTTCTTCGCATTTCTCTTCTAAAATGTTAAAAATTTTTAGTCTTACCTATAAAATTATAAATATTTTCAATTTTATCCTTAAATTTTTTTTTTTTGCCCACTTTACCTTTTATTTTTGGCCCGTTTTGTGTACGATAATGTTAAATGATATTTGATCATTTGATGGCTGAGAGCTTCATAATGAGTCACACAATAAGGGTATAATATTCAAAATATAAAAGTGGGGCAACCTATAGAAACATGAGGCGATGATGAGGCAAGGAAGGTTTTAGTTATTGTCAAAGTTTCCGACATTAGTAAGTGCTCACATGGACACGTGTATTTGAATTTGGAAACGGCATTATTTTACAGTTTATGGAATAGTAATGATTGATGTGATTTGTATACATCTCATTTGATAAGCTTTTTTTTATTAATATAATGTCTTATGAAGGAATCCTGCTTTTCTGTTTGGTTAGAGGGAAAATCCGGCCGGGTCCCGATATAGAAGCCTTAATTTGCACACAACATTAGCCCATTCGCATTAGAAAGAAAGTGCCCCACACTCTCAAATCAAAGCAATAAATAGTGGGGAGGTAAACAACTTTTTTAGATGTTTTATTACATAAAATGCAGATTAACTCATTAGAGGGATATATAAACCTACTGATGGATCAAAATAATAAAAATTAAATTTTTATTAAAATGAAAGTAATTCTGATTATACACGAGAAAAAGAATAATACGAAAATAAATTTTAAAAATATTTATATTTTATTAGTTTGATTTATAAATAGATTCATAGATCTAATTTAAGTAAGTCTAATCTATAAAATATACTATTAGTGTTAGCTACAAACGAAGTTTCATAGCGTCTAAATCAGTGGAATTGCTTTATTATTACAATAGAATCACTCTTTTTAACTATAATATGTTAATTTCTGAATTTTATTTTGGATGATTTGAAATTTTGTAGTATTATATGATATAAACCAGTTTCAAAAGCTCTTGAGGATATGACTTTCCATCTCCCTGCAGTGTTGCAATCTAGGAATGCATTTGGCTGTTAGATTCTTTGACAGCAACTCAATCTATCTATACTATATTGTGGTTGGTTGGTCTAATTTTCAATAATTTAAATGACCTTAAAAATAAAGTTAGGTTGGTCTATTTCTTACAAGTCAAGGGATACCAAGGACAATAACTCTTCTTCTCTTTTCATGAAATAGCTTTTTTTTTAAAAAAAAAAACATTACATCTATTTGATTTCTCATTTACAAACTTGAGTTTTTATTTATTTATTTAGATTTAAATAATTTATTATATGGGATTAAAAGACTGACTCAAATATAAAATTATTGTAAATTTAACTAATAAGAAAGACTAATGTAGGAGATTAGGAGAAAGACTGGGTGATGGAAACTAATTTGTGGATCCTACGTGGATGATAAATCAAGGAGACAAACGTACCAATTAAATTGCTTGCTTTTATTTTTCAGTGGCATTGACATTTCACTCGCTGATTTCATCTGATCAGTACTTTCTATGCCATGTATGGTTCAATGTAGATCACAACACTTTAAAGGTTGTCTCCCGAAGGGACAAAATGTAAGTTATTAATTTTAAAAAATTAAATTAAGGGATAAAGAGTTTTAATCGTGATTAAATTTCGAACTGAATTAAATAATTTCTGATAATAAAGTTCGGATACGGTTAGTTTACACCAAAATTAGTAATTACTAAACATGCAAAAATTTCAAATCAAAAGGATAATTTATTTCAAACTCATGTAAGATATTTACAATGTGTTATTAGGGGAAGAACAGTTTTTGGTCGAGTTTAAAATAGGTACTGAGTGACGTTGCTAAAAAATTTAACAAGAGACAATTGACTGTGAGAGATCCAACAATCTACAAAGAAAAAGAATTGAAGACGACGTGCCATGTAAATACCAAACAACTGAAGGAAGGAATAAATTAATTATCATCAGAATTTAATTTTTTATATAATTATCACCAGAATTTTCATGTAAAAAGGCCTAACTTTTGAAAACAAATAAATAATAATTTTAAATATTTTTAACTAATAAAATCTTTACTACTATCAAATGTCAAAATTATTATTATTGTATTAAAAACAATAATGACAAAAATATTTTTAAACCATAAATTGAACTGTAATTAGAGGTTATAAATAATAGTTATATATAAGTATAAAAAAAAAAAAACAAAATTTTAGATAAATTATATATGCCGTGCAAAAAAACAAATCCTGGACCTGGACTGGTTGCCGTCTCTAAGACCCGAGATCCGTGTCAACATCGACCGTCCAGGTGGCGAAATCTCCCGCTGCTAATTAAGGTTTGGTCTTTTATTGCTATCCAAATGCAATTGGCCCACGTGTACCCTTTCTCGAACTATCATAAAAACAAAATTCAAAAAACTCAAAAACAAAAAAGAGCCCCCCCTCTCCCTTCCGAAGCCATACACATCGCACGACGCCCGATGAATACGTGCCCGTCTTTTGGCGCCACCACTGGACACTCCTAGCAATCCCATTGGCTACTTTGTGGGGCCCAATCAGAAATGTCACACTTTGCGGGCCCCACTGAAGCCGCAACGCCACGTTTCTCCATTCAACCAATCCCCTTTCTGTGCTGTTAAACCCTACTGTTGCACACGTGTCGGGGATCCACACGCGTCGTGCCTACAGTTCTTACAAATACCGCTCCTTCTCTTCGCACTTAGCTTTATATTTAGTGCTTACCTATCGTCTGCGACTTGAAGATCAGAGGAGGAAAAAAAAAAGAAAAAAGAAAAAAAGAAAAAGTAGGTAGACAGAGAGATAGATTCTACGTGTTAGTGAGAGAAAAAGTAGAATGGATGGTAGGGGAGGATGCTGCATAGCGAGGTACCAGGGGGGTGCATATGATATGTCAAAAGTTGATCGGATAATGCTGAGATTCCGGCCGATCGCACCTAAACCGGCCAACGGCGGTTCAGGCTCTTCACCAGAGATAACTGAGGTTAGTCCCAGGTCTGGCAGAGGAAAGAAGAGATTAAACGCCGCAAGCGGGAATAATAGCAAGAGGTGTTATAATGGTAGCAATAGGAAACGAAAGGTTTTGAACGAAGAGAAAGTAGATGTTACGGTGGTGACTCTGCCCCTCTTGCCGGAGACTCCTGACAGAAAAGAGACTCCTGGAAGAGAATCGCCGATGGAATTACATCCACCAAGGGAGACAAAGAGCGTTCCCACATGGCTTAGTTTTGGCAGCAATAAGAAGGGTCATGATCGGATGGTGATCTCCGGATCTTATGCCACTTCAACAAATCGGACTGTGGCGATGCCTCAAGTGATGAGGGTTGTTATCGGGTCATGCGTAACGGTGGAATGTATAACTGACGCATGGGTGGATGTGGATGGACTTGGGCGTACGGATGAGGAGAGAAGGATGAATCTGGAGAGGGACACGTGTCCCGGTTTCATATCGGATGATTTTGGAAGAGTAACGCGGACGAATGATGCCTACAGAAAGATGGTGGGCCAGGGAGAGGACGGAAGAGGAGAGGTGGTGGTATGGATTGTGATGAAAGATAAACTGCCGGTAACGGCGGCGTTAGGGAGCAACAGTGCGTTCACATGCAGGGTGAGGGTGCAGAATCAGAACACGTGTAGGAGTACGAAGGAAGGGAGCTCGATCACAGTACCTTGTGATGTGTGGAGGATGGACCGTGGTGGTTTTGCATGGAGATTGGACGTGAAAGCTGCTCTCTCTTTGGGCCGGTAAATAAATAATAAATATATAAATTTATGCAGCCCGAAGATCCAAACCCGTATATCTAATTGGATCAGCGGAATTAATGACCGACTAGCAAAGCATTAGCTTTAAACAGAGTGTTTTAACGATAATTAACATGAGAATGTCAATATTTCTGGTCCCGTCTGTTTGCTTTATTTGAACTTTTCACTGTTCATTCACGTTCCACTGTCAGTGATATTATTATAACGTCTGTTAATAATCTTAAGAGCAAGTTTAAAGAACTGATGAAGAGGGAGAGAGAAAGATTTGAAAATAGTGAAGAAGAATGAGGGCAGTATGAGTTAGGTTTGGATTTATTGTGGAGGCCATTCTTCCTTGTACTATAAGTAAATCTCTCTGCAGCTTTTGTTTTGCATGAGATGGACCACCACCACCCTGAAACCTGTAATTTTCTTTTGGAGACGACGGAATGTGGACAAGAAGCCGTTGATTTTTCTGAGTTAGTGGTGCTTGAATTGAACATTGCATTACAGTGTATATATTTGAGAAGAGAAGTGCAGTGGTTGTATTTCCTTTATGTATTGTTATTATTGTTGTGTATTGGAAGTAGCAGCCTGACTGATCTCTTAGTAATTGTTGTATCCTTCCTTTTTCAACAAAGAATATGGGCATGATCCTGTTCACTTTTTTTTTTTTTTTCTCAGTAGTTTTGCTTTTCAAAAAATAATTTATTTGGAATATAATTTTTTTTTAATATTTACAGTGTTCAAGTCGATGAATGAAAATTTTTTTTAGCTAACTAAATGGAAAATTAAGATTGTTTTTTTTAATAAATTTATCAATATATTTTACTATTCATTGTCCAAAAAAAAAAATCAATATATTTTAGTATTATATATAAAAAGAAAAAATCAATATAATTTTTAGTATTATATATATATATATATATATATATATATATTTCAGGTATGAAAATTTCTCATAATATTATAAATTTTAATATCTTTTTCGGTTAAATTTTTGTGAAGACTGACTTTCAGTATTTTGTATTACTACTTTCTGGTAGTGTTGGCGACAGGAAATATATGTAGTTGTGTCTATATTCAGTATAAAATTTCTCATAAATTATAAATTTTAATATCTTTTTCGTTAATTTTTGTGAAGACTACTTCAGTATTTGTATTTACTTTCTGTAGTGTGCGGACAAGGAAAATAAATGTAGTTGTGTGCGGCCGGTGCATGAATTTTTCCTTAAAGGAATTCGCTTTCTGTAATTCAATACAATGTATATGAAAAAAGCGAAATCACGATGTCATCAAATTGATCCTCCAGAGTTCCTCAATGTCGGGGAACATGTGTGTTAAATAAATTCTCTACGCTATTTTCTATTTCCTGATTCTACATCTTTTTCTAAACATCACTTTCAAAAGGATAATAGCGTATATAAATTTAACGTGTACGGAATCCATTCTTTGGAGCTTCTTTTCCGTTTGGCAACCTTTTTTCTTTAACAGAGAAGGATGAAATATGGAGGATACATGATGCATGATGCATCCTAAGTTGTGTTCTTTCTAGTTAAGTGGAAAAAAGATTCGGATAGATTGAAATCAGCAACCGCCAAATATGATCAAGAAAGCTGCCGTGGGTGCACAAAGAAAATTCCTAAAGTACAAACATCTAGTAGATTATCGAATTCCAAAGCTACCTTTCCAAGTTAAACCGACGAAGTTATAATTGATTTTTGAAATATGTATATTAGAGATGTGCCAACGCGACTAATGGGCTTCTAACCTTTCTGCCTAGGTTTGACTAATGGGCTCAGTAAGTTGCATAGTAATTATTTTTCGAGTCCAGGCCCATTGTCTGCTTCTTGTGGACTCCTCCGCGACTGCTAGACTGATTCTGTCGTCCATCCCCAATAGGAAATATCCAAGCGTTTGGGCCGTGCTCAAAAGTCTCTTTGTTTTACTATCTTTTTTCATATTGTTTTTTCCTTTTTATATTTTGTCGATTATAGTAATTATTTTGAGAATATTTTTGAAAAATGGAAATGATAAAAAACTGAAACACAAGATATGGATTTTCATTATATTAATAATTATTATTTGAGGTGGTAATATACACATTTATTTCTATCTAAGAGTGAACTAAGAATTCATATAAACCTTAAAAAAAAACTAATAATTCATATAATAAAGTCTGGGACAACATAGTATTTTTTATTATAAGAAGAAAACAACTAAATTTACCTATCATAATGGAGAAATATTAATGTAATTGTCGTAAGAAGAAAATGAAAAGGAAAGTTAAATTAGTTTAAAAATATATCTTTCTACTAATTAATTAAAACTCAATTATTTATTTGATTCTAAAATGTAAAAAAAATTCAACTCAAGAGAGGGAAAAAAAAACAAAAAAAAAACCGGTGAGGGTGTGAAATGAAACAAGCAAAGGCAGAATCCACAGAAAAGCAGCAACGGTTACACATGGGATTTAAATCGGCTACGCGCGGCTCTGCCAATCACAATCAACCAAACAAGCACGTGGGCGTAAAGTGCAAGCGTACTTGCCCCATCACGTCGCAGTAAAAAGTCAAAAGAGACGCGTGGTCAGCAACCCCAGGTAATTTTGTCGACTTCCCTTATCCATTGCTTTCCACTTCTCGGATTTTGGATAAATCTCCTCGCTCGCCAATACAAACAATCACCGTCTCGTCTTTCCTATAAGAACTGTACGCCTCCACCTATATATAGGACCGCGAGTGCCAATTCTATCTACTTGAGGGATTTTTGTGTGTCTGACGTGGCGTTTAATATTATTAATCCATTAACAATTAATTGCTCCAGCTCGATCTATAAATCTAAATCTTCTCAGCAAGACAGAGAATAACCACAGCCGTTCGATCTCGAATTTGACCGTGGAGAAAAATAAACTAATTTGATCCGTTGGATGTAATCCAGCCAGCAATGAACGGCTGTGATTTCTTGAATTGAGGCGGGCAAAGGCAGATTGGGCCTTTAAGTAGAGGAGCAAAGTAGCCCATCGATCACAGGCTTCGAGCTTTCTCTCTTCCTCCCTCTTTGCACTTTGTGTTTCTCTTCTCGTTTTCGCTCTCTCGGTGAAGAAGAATAATAGCGAAGAGGGGTTTCTGTTGAATCTCTCTTTCTCTGGTTTTGTTCGAACCAAGGGCTCAGGCGCGAGATCCAGGTTTTGAATGAGATTTCTTGCGACGTATAAACCTCGTTACTAGGGTTTTATCGCACATTGTGTTTGTTCGCGTCGATGCATTTATTTAGCTTCGATTCGATCTAGGGTTTTCGCTTCTGGGGGTTTTTGCTCGAAGGAGCTTAGTTTATTTCTAGTAAGTATTTACTTTTGTTCTTTACGGTGCTATACTTGATTCATTTTGAGGATTTTGCTTTCATGGAAAGTTTTTGAGCGATACAGAAAGATTGTTTCTTTGTGGAAATCTCTGGTCGTATTCTAAGTTTTATGGTTTGTATTTCAGGGTTTGGAAAGGTTAATAACTCAGCCAACTTTGGGTCTTCAGGCTTTTAATCAAAGCACCATCCAGAATTTCTCTTGCTATTGAAGATGTCAATAAATTTGTGTTACCGACCAATTAAATTGTAAATTTGATTTGTTGTCCCTTCACATTACACTCAGGAGGACTAATAAGTTTAGTGATACTTTATGATTTGATATTAATCTGAAACTTCGATGATATTGCAAGGAAAGGGATCAATACTATTGAAAAGAAGGGACTTCTAGTGTTTCTGAGCTGCAATTATTGTTCTTTTGAAATCATTCTTGAAGCTTTAAAGAATTTTAATAAAATGGGACATGTGGAGAAATCAAAGCTAATTATATTGTTAAACAGAAGATGAACATTGTCATGAATTTGTACACTTTGGATAACATGAATTTTTGAAAGTGAGGCAAAGGATTTGAACTTTATTGTTAAAGTTGTCATGTGCAATCATTTGGAGTTAATCTTATGGCACCAACTGTTCCCATAGAGTTCGTTGGACAGAAAGAATCCAAGAAGTGTTGCCTTTCACAACCGATGGGAAAATCAAGGAAGTACTCTAAAGGGCATTCCTCTGGTTTTGTTCCCGATTACCGGCATGCTGTTGAGACTGTGGGTGAATCAGAGGGGTTCGGAAGTTCAGGGCGGGTTGATACTGAGATGACAGCATCCGAGGATTCCTATGCTCCCAAGAGGAAATGTATAAGTCTGAACCTTGATAGTTATGATGGTTTTGGTGTCCCAACGCAAGTCTTGTCTTTGTCAAAGATGTCACGGTCAGAGAGGAAGGAGTTAGAACTTAGGTTAAAAAGAGAACTTGAGCAGGTCAGGGTCCTTCAGAGAAAAGTGGCATCTTTGAGTTCAAATGCAGTTTTATTGTCGCCTTCTAGTGACATTAGAAGTTGCAGTGATGGGCAAAAGAGGCCTCCACTAGAGGGCTTGCATAAGTCTTTTGAAGTATCTGCTCCACAGAGCAAGAAACGGGCTCCTCCAGGCCGCAATGGGGCCCGGACAAAAAAGAGTACGCATGGTCGTTTGGAACCACCAAAATTGGCTGCACCAATGAGTACACCTAATGCTATTTTGATGAAACAGTGTGAGACATTACTAGGCCGTTTGATGACACATCAATTTGCTTGGGTTTTCAATGAACCAGTTGATATTGTGAAGTTGAATATACCAGATTACTTCACTGTCATTAAACATCCAATGGATTTCAGTACAATAAAGGGCAAGATTGCTTCAGGTAGATATTCAAGTCCGCTGGGGTTTGCTGCAGATGTGCGACTAACTTTTGCAAATGCTTTGAAGTACAACCCGCCTGGAAATGATGTCCATTTCATGGCTGAGGCACTTAGTAAATTTTTTGAAGTGAGATGGAAATCTATAGAGAAGAAGCTTCCAGTGACCACTAATATGGAATCATTGCCTCCTAAAGTTGGTGTCCCTATGGAAATGGAAAAAAATATTGGAGTACTGCCTTCAAAAAAGAAGAAAGTAGCACATAATGACAATAAGGTTAAGTCCGGCCCTGCACCTACAAGGCGTGTTATGACTATCGAGGAGAAGCGTGACTTGAGCACAGAATTGGAGGCATTGCTGGGTGAATTGCCTGAGAACATTATTGACTTTCTACAAAAGCACAGTCAAGGTGCTGATCAGACTGCTGAGGATGAAATTGAGATTGATATTGAAGCTTTCAGTGATGAGACGTTGTTTAAATTGCGGAAGCTTTTAGATGATTATGTACTTGAGAGACGGAAAAATCAGACCAAAGCAGAACCATGTGAAATGGAGGTATTAAGTCTATTTCTTACCAGTTTTGGTGCATTCCCCCCCCCCCCCCCTGCTGGAGGATGAAATTTGAGAATTGATATTGAATGCTTTCAGTGATGAGACGTTGTGTTATAATTTGCGGAATGCTTTAGTATGATTCATGTACTTGCAGAGACGGAAAAATCAGACCAAAGTCAGAACCATTGTGAAATGGTAGGTATTATAGTCTATTTCTTACCAGTTTTGGTGCATTCCCCCCCCCCCTTTCTCTAAATTTATATGTCTTCCATAGAAATTCCTCTTTTCATTATTTGCATGCTTTTTATGTTGATCTCAGCTTCTTAATGAGTCAGGGCCCCCCCCTTCTCTAATTTATATGTCTTCAAAAGAAATTCCTCTTTATTCATTATTTGCATGCTTTTTTTGTTGATCCAGCTTCTTAATGAGTCAGGGTTTAGCAATTCGTCATTGCAACAATGCAAAGGTAACCTTTCTACCCAGAATTTTCACATATCGAGATGCTGATTGATATTAATTATGCATTACTTAATGGTAACTGTATGGCTAATTTAAAAACTCTTCCTGATTTTTAGGCAATGAGCCGGTTGATGAAGATATTGATATTGTTGGTGGGAATGATCCGCCTATTTCAAGCTATCCTCCAGTAGAGATAGAGAAAGATGCAACCCAAAAACAAAGTAAATACAGTAGTTCAAGCAGCTCTAGTAGTGAATCAGGCTCTTCTTCGGATGGTTAGAGTTCCTTATAATCTTTGATTACTCCAATTTGCTTCTGAATCTTTATACTGATTTTTGGTTTTGGAGGCATATATAAGGGACATTACTGTCTATGTGTGTTTCTTAGTGAGTTAGTTTTGACTTTGAGAACATCTGAATTTAAATACTATCTAATCTTTTAAAGTGCAGAAAACTTAGTTACTATATGATCTTTTAAAGTGCAGAATTTGAGAATATTTGAATTTTAAATGCTATATGATCTTCCAATGTGCAGGAAACTTCATTATGGTATTCTTCCTTGTTGAATGTAAAATTTTGCTTTTTTTCTTTTTTCCATTAATCTAGTATCAATCCCAACATGGGCCTCTGTGCAAAAAATGCAGCTGAATTTTCTAACATGAAATATTCATTGAAAGAAAATAGTCTAAATTTTAGATTTTATTTTATGTTATAGGATTTGCTTTTTAGTGTTGGGTTGGAGTTATACGGTTTCTGATAGACTTTAAGCAAAAGCTTCTTTAGATGTATGAAGTTAGGAAATTTTAATTAAATTCATTGTGGGATTGGCAGTTCGCTAACCATCTAGGAGGGTTACTTATATTAAGTCTTGCGTATTCCATTAAGTAGCAAAAAGGATTTTACATTCTGTAGCAAAATTTCATTCATCCATTAATAATATATGGACCGTGTGAGAGAGAAAACTAACATGAATTAACAAAACCTACAAAGAAAATTTTTTTAGAAGAACAGAAAAATAGAAAACCCGAAATTCAAAAATCCAGTGTTGCACCACTCATAAACATTAATGAAGATAACAGGTTGGAAACATGTTTTAAATTTTCATGTTTATTGAATGGATTTGGACCAAGGAGGCTTACTGTATTCAAGAAAACACTAGAAAATGGAACCATAGCCATATTTCATAGAATTTGTGCAGATGCATAGCCACACATCTCAAGGTAGACAAGTATGAAACTTCTGCATAGCCAATTTAGAAATCTAGAATAGCAGGTTAGATAAGGATATTAATGGGGTAGATGGGGGTGATTAGAGTTAGGGCTGGCAGAGGAAAGAGGTTTGGAGATTATCTGGGAAGGAGAGAATATGGAGAAATGGGGTGATAGGTTAGTTACCCTGTGTATTTTAAATCAGTTTATTGAGGTTTACATAAGTAAAATTAAACTAAAAACCAAAATTTTCTAAAATTTATATCAAAAATATATTATTTTAAGCAACTGAATCAAAGGAATCAAATAACATTGATTTGGTTTGTTCATTTCTTTGTTTACTGTATAATGCTCTTCCCTAGGGTTAGAGGCAAAAATGCTAGTCGGGGAAGGAGAAACCAAAGAAGGGAGAGCCTTTTCATTTGTGGCAGTGTAGCAATAGCTGGAGGAATATATCAGTGGTGGTATGGATTCCTTATGTGATATTTGAAGGCAGCGAGCCACAGAGCGGAGTCTAATTACAAGTGTCATTTGAAAGGAGTTAGTCTAGTATAAGAATAGGTTAAATCATTCAATTTGAATGTGGGGTAGAACAATGTAATTTTTGGTACAAAAATATTCAGCTAGAGTTGCTTAGAAGTGCAGCATGACAACAAAGCTAAAAGTGGTTCTTTGGTGGAGCTTGTCAACAATCTGGATCCGTTTGTTAAGCCATGATGGACTGTAATGTAATGCAATGAAATGCATTTCTGGTGAAAATACAACATAGAGGATTTACAACTTAATTTTGCAATGGTTTTGCTGAGTGCATTAGACCTGTGCAATTTCAAATTTGACATATAATATTGGATGTTCTATTTTAATATAGAAATTTGGGCTATTTTAAATTTGTATAGACTTTGTTAAGTTTGGTTCCCCTAATGGATAGACTTAGCAAATGTACCATAGCTAGGAATGTAATTTTGATTGGGATCTGTCTCTCTGGATAAGTACTTGAGTAATGAAGATGGATCCTAGTTCTGCATTGTCATATATTTTTCTGTACATTTCAGACACATTCCATGTTTTGGATAGGGAGCATGTGGTGGCTTAATTTGATGCATGATGTTGGCTGTTTTCATCGTATGTGGAATTTGTGCATGTGATTCCAATGTGTGTGCTAAATCTGGAGCAAATATAAGCATTTTTAAGGATTATCATATGCTAAGGGCCTTAAACCTTTTCTTATACTTGTGGCTCGGCATGTGTTTAATCTCATGATGTTAATCCCCTTTTCAGATGTGCAAGAAAATCAGAAAAATTCTATTTGGTTTGTCTTCTTGGTGTTGGGCTTACATTGTCATCTAAACCAAGCATCATGTGTGCTTGCTTTATGAATTATGATATGTATATATATATATATATATATATATATGTAAATTACTGGGTATAGAATTCTCTGTAGTTTGTTTACTATCTAATTTTGTTTTGCTGTTTGTATAACTTTTCAGATTCAGATTCTGGCAGCTCATCTGGCAGTGAATCAGATGCAGCTAAAGCTTCAGTTCCTAGTGCTGTGACCAAGGTATGTCTTGGTAATGTTATATTTACCTTAGCTGGTGGCTCTCTGCAGATAAATAGGGCCTCTATCTTCATCTTTCTTTCAAATGTGTTTTAGTTGTCTTTCTTTTTTGTTTTCCTTTTTTTTTTTTTTTTTTTTTTTTTTTTTTTTTTTTAACTACTAAAACCACAAAAATAAATAAAAGTACAAAGAAAGGTTAAAGGAGTTACCTAATCCTCAGACTGAGGATTATAAATGGCTTAAAATTTTTTTTTTTTTTTTTTTTTTTTTTTTTTTTGTACTTCTCAGCTCCTTTTTTTTTTTTTTTTTTTTTTTTTTTTTTTTTTTTGTACTTCTCATGCTTCCACTATTGTAGGAAAATGTGGGAGAAAACTTAGAGCAGAAAAAAAGTGGACTTGGTGATCCAGGTGTTGGGAATCGTGAGATTCTTGATCTTGTGATTTGTATTTTTATCTTTCTAAAGCTTGCATTATTCTAAATTATGCTTCTAATGTGTTCTTCAGAATGTACAAATGGATTGGCCAAAATTGAGTCAAATTCCCTGGGTAAGCCAATTATTGCTGAGACAGATAGCTGCCAAGAGGGTAAGCATAATCACTGACAAGACTGTTTGCTGTTACTTTTGGGGCTTAATCTCACCCATTATGCTATAATATTTTAGGGGAGAGTGCTCCATCTGAGAGACAAGTCTCCCCCGATAAGCTCTATCGTGCAGCTTTGTTGAGGAACCGGTTTGCTGACACTATACTTAAAGCTCGAGAAAAGGCACTTGAAAAGGTTGGTGTCAGGACTAATACTTGATGTTTGATTATCCAGCTGTTTGGCTAGCATTGACATGAATTGTATTGGTTATCATATTAGGGAATGTTCAAACTTTTTATGCTGTACTATCATTCTTAAAACAATGTTTTGAGTTCAGGGAGAAAAGGTGGATCCTGAGCAATTGCGGTTAGAGAGGGAGGAATTTGAGCGGCGGCAGAAAGAAGGTTTGGAATAATACATTAAGCTTGAAATTCTAAGTTTTGATATTTTAAGATCTCTGAAAGTATATGAGTCTTTAATTTTTCATCAGAAAAAGCTCGGTTACAAGCTGAGGCCAAGGCTGCTGAAGAAGCTCAAAGAAAGGCTGCAGCTGAAGCTGCAGCTGAGGCAAAAAGGAAGAGGGAACTGGAAAGAGAAGCTGCACGTCAAGCATTGCAACAGGTAAAAGCCAACAGATTATTTTATGTGGAAACTAATTCCATACTTGCTAGTTATCTGAAAAAAAAAAAAAAAATTCTTGTTCTATGCCCAGATGGAAAAGACCGTTGAGATTAATGAGAATGGTCAGTTTTTGGAAGATCTGGAAATGTTCAGGACTGTACATGATGAAGAGTTGCCAAGTTTCATGGAGGTGTCTAGCCCAGATTTCAAACTTCAGGGAAGTAGTAACCCACTAGAAAAACTAGGGCTCTACATGAAGAGAGATGATGATGAAGAAGATGAAGTTGAACCGCCAAAAAGTGTTTTGGAGCTGGTAAAAGATGTGGAGGAAGGAGAAATCGACTGATGAGATTACTATTTTTATTATTCTGTCGATGAAGAAGCATTTTACGAAATGGCTCTCCTGAAAGCTATGGATTTGCATTTCTTATATCCTCCCATCTCACCATGGATTGTCCCATGGGAAATGCTATATTGTGGCCTGTTCCTATTTGATGGCAGGCATAAAAGTGCTATGAAAATAATGGAAGTGAAGATGCTCAGAGGAATCATTATCAGCAGTTAAAAGTTATGGATTACCTGGGTGATCTGTGTTGGGGAAGAAGAAATTGGAAAGATTGGACACCAAAGAGGAGGAGGAAGTGGGATTTTGTTAATTTTCTCTTGTGGTTTGTAAAAAGTAAGTTGTAGCTTGTAATGGATATGATATGATGCACTTTTTGACAGCTGCATCTTCTTAGGAGAGAAATTTTATTTTGTTTGGACTAGGAGAAGCAAAGAAAGTGGGTGGGTGGGTGTAAGATCTTATGTCAATTTTAGGGAGGAGAGAGTAAAAGCTAGGAAATTGTAATATATTCAGAGTTGAGATGGATTTGTCATTCATTTAATTCCTTTTTTTTCATCAGTTTTTTTCAAGTCTAAATGTAAGTACTTTACTGTGGAATGTGGATAATAGTCTGGTCTGGACTGGAGTAATGAAATTTTTTATTGTGATTTTATTTTGTATTATCCGGATAGAAAATATTTATTTTTCAAGCAAGAGTTTATGTTTGTTTGCAAAGCTAAAAACTTTATAGCAATTCAATTTAATTGAAATTTTCTCCATTCTCTCTCTCTCTCTCTCTTTCTTTTTCGGAAATCTTATTATTCCTCCTCAATTCTTTTCTTTAAAACTTAAGAAAATAAAATTATGTCGCAACTGTGTAAATCTGTGATCAGATAAATTTTCAGTGCAAACATCAGACGGGTAGATTTCGATCGGATTGGCCGAGTTTTCGGATAATAAGCAAGTTATGTCTGATCGGATTAGAACATAAATTTGCTGATAAAAAATTTAATAAATAATAAAGGCCTGTTTAGTCAGTCTTTTCATTTACGTGAGGGATGGGGAGGACTATCTCTTGTGTGTATGTTATTCGGCCTATAAGGCCTCTGATGAATTAAAAAATAATAATAATAATTTAAATATTTTTAGATAAAATATAATTATTCAAGAAAAGATAACCCACAAATTAATTAAATATAATTAGCAATATAATTATATAATATATTTTTTAATTCATTGGGTGAAATTGACTTAGACAGGATCGTTCATATTGGCAGCCTATTGCAGTTAATTGCTACTGCGGTTAATTAACTGTTTCAAAGTTGCAGGACTTGCTGCATGAGATTGTTTACAGTCTACGATGGCCTCTAACTCCATCGGAGCTCTGGTTAAGCTTTCCGCAATGTCCCGTCGAATCCCCCTTTTCTCTCCCGCTCAATTTCGTCCTTCCAGGCTCTCCTCTATCCCAATTTTCCGAAACTCCCTTTTAAGCTCTCGATTCTCCACCGATTCCTCTTCTGGTAGAATCAAATCTCTCTCTCCCGCTCCAAGTTTTTATTTGAAAATAATATCATCTCTTCTTATTTTTGTACCGGTTTTTCGGGGGGAATAGGTAGAGCAATTGCGTCCACATTGGGCAAGTCTCTCTATAGCTTCTTGAGTAATTTTGCAATTTTTGTTTGTATATCAATCATTGATTTCTTTGTGCTGTTACAGGTTCTTCTTAACTATTTGAGGTCATCAAAGGAAGCTGAAGAAGTTTCCAAAGAGGTATTTTTGTATGTATTTGAAAGCATTATTTATGATCTTATCCTGCAAGCCATAACTTCTGTTAATGCTATCTTTCTCATAATGTTGATTTGCTCCATGGCAAATTCACCATTATACTTCCTTGCAAAACCAGAAACTTCTGTTAATCTATTAGAGTTTGTATTCACCCTACAATATGCAATTGGCATGTTTGGTATGATGTCATTTCTATTATGTGTTCCGTTTCTTCTCTCTTTTACAAGAAATCATAATTTAGATGACATGTATATCTATTCCATTTCATTTTCATGACGAACTAAACATCCATATTAGTTTATTACAAATTGGTGTGTGTAGAGCAACGGGCTAGATTGTAGCTTTGAGGTACACATGCAAAGTCCACGTGGACAGTTATTCAAACAACTAAAATCAAAGTTCTAAGACATCATTAGAATAGTGTATGCTGTCTCATGGTTATCTTGTCCCTCAATATCTCTACTTCTTTTGACCACGGCTTCATACACTTTCTTTCACTGTGTCCATTTCATTTCTGTTGCTTTACAAGTTTTAGGCACCTGGGAGGGACATTCACTTTTGTTGCTAATAATTTGATTACACTAAACAGTGTATACCATTGTTTGATGTATAAGAGGCTAATGAATGTTAAGTGGTCATCTCACACTCACAAAGCTGGCATTTTCTTTGTCAATCTTAATGGTATAGGCTCTAGACTACTTATGGACATGTTGCTTTGTCATGTTGGAGTGTCATTATACTATCATCATTTAGTAATTTTATCTTGCAGATCAAGACATCTGGACGTGAGGCTCTTACTTTTAGGGGCAATGTTTCAAATCAAGAAGATGTAGAATCAATGGTTAAAAGTGTAAGTGGATACACTTGTGGTTAAATAATTACTATTATGGCTTGTAAATATGGTGCCCATCATGTTTGTAGGTTGTTGATGCTTGGGGAACCATTGATGTGTTGATAAATAATGCAGGTTGGTGGAAATTCTCTTGTCATCTACTAAACTTCCTTTATTTTCTCTGACTGTTACAGAATATGTATAGGAGTAGTACGTGATGGATTGCTGATGTGAATGAAGTGTCTCAATGGCAAGAGGTTATCGATTTAAATCTCACTGGAGTATTTCTATGCACTCATGTATGCCACTTTTGAAACTTGATGCATATCTGTATGTGTTAACTTATAACTTAATGCTAATGATGAAAAATATTTACATGCTGCAGGCTGCAACCAAATTTATGATGAAAAATAGAAAGGTAGTTGTTACATTTGGGATTGCTTTCCTTACTGTGATAAAAGAAGAAGAAAAGAAGAGAAAGGAAAAAATAGTCATAATAATGAAAGACGTGCACTGACTATGTTCTCTCACAAATCGATTCTACTTTTTAATGCTGTTAAAATATGCATATATCATGTCATTCATGGTGAGAATGTACTCGAGTCTCCTGCTATTCTAAGGATAAATTTGCCTTTTCTTTCCTCGTTCTCAATAACAATGATTAACCGGTGACATAACATGGATGAACTTGTATAGGCGAATTTGAGGTTGTTTTTCTCTTTTCTTCTATTTTTTTGGGATATATGTCGCAATGCTAGCAGTGAAAAAAAGAAATTTGTGAATTCTTAAAAGGGGGACAGGATACAAAAATGAATGAGGCCTAATGGGAAGTGGCCTAAATACTTACATGAATGGGTTGAGGGATGCAAAAATAAATTTTCTATCTCTTAACAGTAAAATATGCCCTTTAGTGATTGAGTTGGGACACTGGGACTGGTTTTAACATTCTTCTTTGCCTGGATGAACCTTATAACTTCTACTTCCATGGACCTCAAATTCAAATTCTCTGAGGCTGCCTGTGAAAATTAAAATAATATTTTAGATACCTGAGCATATTATGTACAAAAAATGACAAAGAAAAGGCTGAATAAGTTGTCAGCAAGTATATGCTCTTAGTCTTTCTGTTTAGTAGATAAATAGGAATGAAGAATTTTTTTGTCTATGTATGAAACTTTTAGAAAATCATTTGGATCTCCTTATTTTTTTGTAATATTATTCTTTCTCTTGCCCTTTTACATTCTTAGTCTGCTCTTGGTTTTGTAGGGAAGAATAATCAACATAGCATCTGTTGCTGGCCTGGTTGGCAATGCTGGACAAGCCAATTATAGTGCTGCAAAAGCAGGAGTTATTGGCTTCACAAAAAGCATTGCAAAGGAAGATGCCTGCAGAAATATCAATGCAAGTAAATAGGATCTACACCTTTGGATCAAGTTGAAAGACAAAGCCCCTTGTGTTTCTGCTGGTTTGATTGTGAATATAACCTTTTCATGGGGTTTGCAGGTTTCTTCTAAGGCTTTCTTCTCAACCTTAATTTGCATGTAGGTAAATGCTGTTGCTCCAGGGTTTATTGCCTCTGATTTGATTGTCAAGCTCCAAAAAGATATTGAGAAGAAAATATTGGAAACCATCCCTTTAGGTGGGAGCATAGTCATATTTTTACTGATTGAATATTATATTTCTGCACAAACAAACAATTATGTTTCACGGTATACTTCTTGTCCTGGGTGAATCAAACAACTTTCCTTACCAGTCTATAGTTCAACCAGTGTACCATTTTTAGTGTAGTACTGTTCTTGCAATAAAATAGTTTCTAATTCTCCATTTTTCCAAGTTAAGGATCAAAGACATTCCTAATTCAAAAAATATGAAAATGACCATTCTACTTCAAGATGGCTTTGGCTTTTGCATAAGTTTCTGAAATTTGTTTGCTACACAGGAAACAATGAGATACAGGTAATTGGAAAATGCTTATGTTTGGAAATGTGGTTACAGGGCGATATGGACGGCCGGAAGAAGTTGCTGGAATAGTGGAATACTTATTAGCACTTCATCGTTCTGCCAGTTACATTACTGGACAGGTACTGTTTTATAGTTTCAATTAAGTCTTCCTTGTTCTTTCACGAAATGCAGTTTAAGATTTCCTCTGCAATCATTCACTTCATTTTAGGTGTTTACCATCGATGGAGGAATGGTTATGTAAATGATTGATAATCAGGAATCCCCTTTTTGGCGGCTACCTTACAAAGAGTTTGCATCAAAATTCTGGTTTCGAGTTCACTGTATGTGCGATTTATTTTCCAGGGTAATGCATAGATATTAGATTGTATGTATAGGATTAGTTTATAGCAGCATCTAGAAAACAGATAGCTTCATTTATGGTTTCTGTATCAAGAAGGCGGTACTTGTCAGTTTTCTTCAGGATTCCATTAGGGTAATGTCGGCTGGTCTCTTTTCTTTCTTTGACATTCGAACGTTGAATAAATGTGATTTAAACTGAATATGATCTAATTCCAACAATATGAAGATCAGAGTTTCATCATTCATCCTCTATGAATTTGGTGCATAAAAACAAACCATGTCGATTAAATGGACACAGTCGAATTTAGGCGCTTGAATTACTGATCCTGCAAACTTAGAGAGCTTATCCAACATCGTCCTGCTACAAATGATATACCACCATTTACATTTAAACATTCTGAATTAAGAAAAAAGAAAAAAAAAATATTAACAGTGAAAAAAGAAATTTGCAGCTTATCAAGAGCAAAAAGAACAATAAAAAAAATGAGAATATTATATAGATTTTGTAAAAGTTACTTTAGTTCTCAAACATACCCTCATCTGATAGTCCAGAGGATTTAGTACCATTTACAAGAGGTTGATTAGAAATGTCATTCAAGTCACTTAAAATGCTGTAATCAAAATCGTCATCGTCATCCTCGTCTCCATGATCTCTGTCTGAAACCTCATCATCATCTTTTTGCTTCACGTCCTTTGAAAGAGCTTCTCTTTGCATCCGTTGTTTAATGGTATCTTCATAAGACATTTCATACCAAACAGTGCCCTTGCCCACAATGGCTTTGTTGTGAGCATCTGTCATCCTCTCTTGCTTACTCTTTTCTGAGTTCTTGGGTTCTCCCCAGTAATCATAGCGGTATAAAGGATTATCAGGATCATATTGATCCTTTCCAAAATAGCTTGCGGGCTTATACCTTCCTGGTTCTTCCAATGGCAAACCAAGAGCTTGGCGGCTGCAAGAAAGCATGGAGCTTCAGAACAAGGAGGTGACATAATCAAAGGAAACATAAGAAATTAAAACAAACCAAATTATAGAATTTCACTTTAATTGCTCTAACATATACTTAAAGAATCTCAAACTCCTTAGTTAACAGGCCAGCATGTTACGAGACTACTGATTTATCCGGAGCAGTCAAAGGAATGCTTGGAGCACTGAATCAAATCAAAGGTTTAACTGGAATGTAAAAATATCTATGGTTCAACACAGTATCAAGTCTGATAATGGCCAAATTGCAATTATCCAATTTTATGCCAGAGAACCTAGTGGAGCTAAGAAAAGTACTTTAAACGAAATTGACAAAAAAATTACTTGCAGAACTGTAAAGGAAAAAGAAAATAATAGGATACCAGCTGATGTCTCTGAGCAAAGCTTCCCTTTCCTCAAATGATCGACGCCAATGCAACAAATCATACTCATCCATTTCTATATTTCGTCTCAGCTTAGTAATTTTATATATCTCTCCTCTTTCTTTTGCTTCCATTCTTAGTTTATTATGAAGCTGCATGCAGAAAAAATAATTTAAAAAGTATTATGCAGATACCAAAATGCACTTTTAACATATTTACTAGAGGTTTAAGTATTGCAGATCAACATTTAGCAAAACAGAAAAAATGGGTTAAACAAAAAAATATAATAATAAGATAATGGTGAACCTCCCGCTCAGCTAAGGCTGCTTCCAAGTCAAGTTCTTTGACACTTTGTTTCTGCCAATGAATATTAGACAACATCAGATGACGCACTGTGTTAAATATGATGCAATGTCAGAAGAAAAGTACTCACCACAACTATTTTAGGCAATAAGGTTTTCTTGTAATAAGCTTCAGTATATTGGACACTGTTTTGTTCATCAAACTCTTCATCATCAGTTAATTCGGATAGTTTTTTGTCCTTGTATTTCTCTGGATTGGCCTCCAAATCATCCAAAATCATTTGCTCAGCAACATGGATTTGCCACAACTGCATAAAATACACAAATTTCCTAAAAAATAAGTCACTATGCTGAGATAGGATTATAATTGCATCAGCAATCAATCAGCGATTATTTATTTCACTAAAATAAGGGAATATATGGCACCTTCTCAACATACGGGTGATTTGACAAAAGTGGTTCCTCTTCTGGTTTTGTTCCTGGATCTTTTCTAGGAACAGGAGGTCTTCTACAATCGCGCTGCAAATGTGAGCAAATATGATTAAAAGCTCATGCAGCAAGAATTAATTTCAGAAAATAGCATGTTCAACAGTCTGATAGAAAACAGAGAAGTAAAAACCATAAGCTTCCAGAATATTCCTTCTTCACTTCTAAAACCATATCACTGGTTAATGGTTAAGGTAGACTCCATGATTAACCAGCTGAAGCTAAATTCCAAACTACAAAGAGGACTAGGTATTCTATTGGGACATTATAGAAGGGTAGCACGTGGATTTGAAGGTATTACAAGGATGAACAGGGCTGATTTGAAAGAATTGCTTTGAAACTGAATGTTCAAGGAGGAAGCATATGTACCCGTAATTCATCTGGGTTGGTATCCTCATCACGATGAAATATTGGGGGAAATTCAAATCTGTTGAAGCTGGCACACAGATAAAAATGTCAAAAGCCAAGGCATAAGCAGATAAAGAGCAATTGATTTTTAAATAGCACCATCACTTCTATGTAATAATAGCAAAAACCAACTGAATATTGCAGTATAATAAATTATTCATTAGTTCATTTTTGTTGCTCCTTTTTCTTTTCCCCCTTTTTTTTATTTTTATTTTTATTTTTTTGACAAATGCGATTGTTTCTTTTTGTCTGTCCTATGATTCAGCACAAACCATGTGGTAACCTCATTGCCAGCAGGCAGCAACCACCAGCAAGTAAAATAAGTTTGGTAAGCCACAAGCACTAAGTTATAATAGATATTTTGTCTTCGATTTTTAAATAATCAAACTACGATCAAAGGAAGACGAGTTACATACATAAGGTGATCTATGTTAGGCCAAACAAGACGCATCTCAATAGGAAATCGAAATCGGTAAGGATCTCGCTTGGCCTGCAAGGCAATAGAACTAATCAACATGGTTAAGCCCACTCTAAAAGTACAAATCACTACTTGAAAATTTATATAAAATGCTAATTAGCAGGCATAAACATATAAATGTCTTCATTTGTGTGCATCAAAGCAACAATGCTTACCAGAATTTCAACAATGACATGCATACCAACTTTAATGTGATGGCGGATCCAATACCAATCGTTGCCTCTGATAGGAACCCACCTGAAATAGATGAGCAAATTTCAGATGAGCAAACACAGATGTGATAGATAGTAAAAATGTGAAACGTTAAGAAAAAAAACAATCTATCCTTTCATCTAAAATTTGATTTGTGCAAGCATATATAACACTACAGGTGATGACACCTACCCATCGTGCACACCTCCAATATCAACAAAGACTCCTTGATATAGATGAATAGTAGTCACTTGTCCCTCACAAATCTGCATCAACATCACACAGAATACTCTATCATGATATTGTATAAAGAGCAAAATATGTGCAACTTTTGAGCACTGGAAAGAAGATTTATCCTCGACTTGTACGTCATTTACATATGCATGTAGATACTGATAGGGAAACAAAACTAGAAATGATACAGGCTGAGGTTTATATCCGTGGTGGTGTTGCAGCTGCTTGTTAAAATTTTATCATGTACAGTTAGACAAATTCAGAGGTAAAGGAAAGATTTCTGAGCAGAAGAATATCAAATGCATCCGGTATAAATTATCTCTAAAATCATGGGCAGCAACCCTGCCAACTAAAATCAGTCAATAAATGTGGCATAAAAAAAAGCTCTGTCATTTCCCGAAACATTAACTTATATATGGTCCTATTGTGTTAGCATGATTGTGAATTAGAGAAATGAACTGGCATTCATGTGGACATTTCTGAGAAAAATAGAAAGAGACTGATACAACTACTGAAGCAATTCAAGAAAAGAATCCTCAAGCAAAAGCATAAGCTCAAGAATTTACCTGCCCTGGGTAATAAAATGGAAGTTCATACTGCACAAAAAAAAAAAAAAAAAAAAAAAAAAAAAAAAAAAAAAAAAAAAAAAAAAAAACGATCATCTTTCTAAAAAAAAAAAAAAAAAAAAAAAAAAAAAAAAAAAAAAAAACGATCATCTTTCTATGACAATCAATCAACAAATAAGCATACAAATAAGGAAAATTTGCAACAGGTCCTACCATGCCTTCTTTGTAGTCTTCCCCTCTTTTCCTTCTGCCAGGATAATAATCTTGGTCAATCTGTATCGGCAAGAAAATTGAGCATCATCCTAAATTTTAGTCAAGTAAAAGTAGCCTATTGTAGTGGAATCTGGAGGACAAAAAAGAGAGAAGAAAAGAAACGAAGCCTTTTCCTTCGGGTGAATACCTTATAAGACTCCTCTTCTAATCTATCCTTGTTTGCGACAACCCAATCTTTATACTGCTTCAAGAACATCTTATATCTATCTAAACACATTCCTTGAGTATCAGTAGTTTCGCGATTCTCCAGTTCTTCAATTCCCACTCTAACTGCCTGCAACTTATGAGCTTCCCTTATAAACTCAAGCTCCTTCCTATCGACTTCCCAGCCTCTAGGAGGCCAATCTCGAGGAGGCACGTGTCTGAGAACCAGTGGCCCTGCCCAAAGAGTCTCCAGCTTTTCGGGTATTTCTCCCTTAATTTCAAATTGCTTCTTGTACCACTCGTCTTCGGTGAGTCCCATTTCTTTAATCTTTTTGAGTCGATACCTAGGGGAAAGCATTTTGAAAGCTTCAATGGCTTCCGGCGACTGGAGAGGAACCTCTTCGCCTTCATTGAGGGATTTACGAGCGAAATCAGCTTCAGGAGTAAGGATTTCCTCCCAAGGGGCCCACCCGCGCTCGACCCAGTTCTTACGACGCCATTCTTCCTCTTTTGCGTCGTCTCTAGGGCCGAAAATTTGGGTGAAGGTCTCGTCTACTGGGAATTCGTCGGAGCTATAGCATTTTGGAGGCGGTAAGCTAGCGGTGGAGGTGGAGGGAACTACAGTTTTTGAGAATAGAGGATGGCACTGACGGTGGTGATTGCGGTGGTAGCGGTTGGGCGTAGGGTTTAGGGCTTTAGGGAAAGAAAAAAGGTGAGAGGTCTGCAGGACTTGCATTTGGTGGGAATGGCAATGGATAAACATTTCTCCCCGAAGGACTTGGTTAAAGTAAAAGCGCTAACGGTATTTATTTATGTCAAGCATTTAAGTGAACGGATAATATAATTCTTTTTTAAAAAAAAAAAAAAAATCAAATGATAAAATTTTCTTCTCTTTAACTTATTTCGAGATGTTTAAAGGATGAATAGTTGAATTGTAGAAGAAATGAAAAATAAAAAATGTCATAATATTATATACACATTACATTAAAATATAATGGTAATAAGAACAAAAGGTTGTACCTAAAAGAAAAATAAGGACACTAAAACAGGAACAAAAAAGAAATGCTAAAAGCAAAAGGCCCTTATAGAAGAAACTCTAAGAATAAAACTTGAAGTCCTTTGCTTGAAGAATCAATTGCCTGAGTGCACCAATTGGAGCTAAAACCATCAAAATGACACCCAATGAGATGCACACCTGAAACAAGTTTTGTGGATTAAAAAAAATATATATTAGAAGTAATTAACAAATGCAAATTAACTAGCTTAAACATCAATTATTGAGGAGTTAGTTATATATACCCAATTTGCAAACCAGGATAAACTAAATCTCCTGGGTTTGTATATGGCAAGCCACATGATGCAAGGAAGCTGCCAAATAATAATCTAAGATAATTAGAAATTTGAAAATTTTGCATGAAAAATAATATATTGCATGTCTTATGTAAATATTACATAGTATGTGGTAGGAGCAAAAGCAAATCCTCCAAAGAAACTGAGAAGCCCTCCAAAAAATGGGAATGTCATAGCAAGAAACATCGTCAAAGCTGCACCAAAGCATTAAATCAAGATCACTGTTTTACTTATATATAAGGAAAACTCATTCCATAATACTCACCAACATATGAAGTTCGAGTCATAAACCGAAGAATTAAGCTTGGCTTCAATTTCATTCTCAATACCAAAAATGATTCTAACATGTCAAAAACCGGCACTGCGAAAATCTACAAGACACATAGCAACAACCACCATTTGTCAAAAACCTGCACGGCGAAAACATGACAGTCTAGAGAGTAAGTTTTTGTACCTGATAACTTCCGATGACATGAATGACGACGAATAAATTAGCAACAGCGATGAGCCACCAAGGTTTTTCAAGTGAAATGAGGATATTGTCCTCAACTTTGTTTCCAAATACCAAGTAACCTATAAAAGCAACAGGGAAGTAACACAAAGCAACAACTAAATAGGCAATGATAACGCCTTTCCACATGGGTTTCTTGGAAGGCTTTTCAGGTGTGGAAGGAATTGTTGCCTGAATCTCCAAAACGACATTGTGCCCTGCAAACGCAAAAGCTACA